ATCAACATGCTCTGAAGTCAGAGCACAAAAACCTTTTTGTAACAAAGTATCGATTTCTGCTGTCCCTGTATCGATACATTATTAGCAAACAAAATATCACCATGCTACACAGTATCCATTTTTTCCCCCACCCCTAATTTTTACCCAGAACATTTTTTTTAGCTCAAAAACTTTATTTGTTTGTGGTGTTCAAGCTGAAAGCTGTGATTTTGACTTACACATATGTGGACGTCACATTTTGGGTTATTTAGACTAAACTACTCAATTTTGCTCTAGAAGGGCCTGATATCCACTTACGAGGACATTATACTGCTGCTGTTCTATCAACGTTTTAAACGTATATCCTCATATGTGGCTCTCATTTTTCTTAGAAACAAAAATTAAAAAAAAGAAAATCTGGTAATTCTTTGTTTTTACATTCATCAAGTCTCAATCAGCCCAGATATCAAAGAGAAATTAAAAATGCTGCTGTGGAAGAGTTCAGGTCTTAGGAGGTTAAAGTTAGAACACACACCTGTGCACATCACCTGGCTCTCTGCTAACCTCCTTCATGTGTTTGCAGTTGTGTCACAGATACGCAGGCTTCCTGCGGGTGGCGCTGTCGGACCCTCAGCCCGAGAGGAGGTGAGAACAAAAAGTGCAGTCGCGACACCTGCATTAGCTCCTCCCAGCTTCGTCTGCCATTAAAGGACTGATATGTAAAATGTAGCAAATTGTTTAGTTGTTTATAAATATATAGACCATATATATGTATATATGATAGGACATCAAACACACAGTGTATTCTTATCAATGAAACATGCAAGTTTATAATCTGTTGTCCTTCAGTAAAACGTTCCTAGAAAGCGTCATTTCACTTGTCGTTTACATTTATACAGGAAGTCAGGTCTTTAACGGCGTCCTCCAAAGAAAAACGATATTCTTCTCTAAGCAGGACGACTCTGTTATTATAGTTCAGGAATCACATGAAGTTTAGTCCTGAAAGCACCGTTAGACATTGTGCTCACTTTTCTGTCGTGGGAATATCAGAATCAGACCTGATGCGGGCTCGCCACAACGCTGTTCGCCTTTCGGGGATTTGTCTGTAACTTTATATCGAATTTCAGCATGTCGCAGGTTTCTGTGGCTTACAGCTATTTTGTTTTTGTTTTGTCAATTTTAATTATTTCTCCAGTAAAATTAGCATTTTGTAGCATGAATATGAACAACAATACAGTTTCACCCCTCAACACTGCGTCGCTGGATCGAGACGTATTCATGTGTTTAAGGCGCTTTATCTAAGAACTGCCCCACGTTTCTTTTTCTATTGAGCGGTTTTAAAAGCGGGTTTGGAAATGTTCCTCTTTAAACTGAGCTTCAGTAAATATTTGTGCTTCAGGTTCTTCAGGCGCTGCTGGGTGACCTTTGACCGCAGCGTGAACATCAAGGAGACGTGCTGGAACCTGCAGAACATCCGGGTACACACAGACACACACACCCACAGACACACACACAGACACACACACACACTGGTGTGTCATGATTATAACCTCCTCTATGCTTTCTGCAGCTCAGAGACTGTGAACTCGCTCCGGTGGTGAACAGAGATCTGTGCCGGCGGGTTCGCAGCGTCAACGGT